AAGCCATTTTTGGTTTTGTACATCTTATTGTTCATGATATACACTACATTCAATGTGTTATAACATTGTTTTCACTGTTGGCCAACCCCAAAGAAAATATCATATTTATAAAGATATTTATAATACAAGAAAATAGTAATCACAAGTTAAAAAATGTAGGACATTAGCTTTATACCAGAGCCAAATTTAACGGGATTTTTCAGAACTGAAAACCATTGGCATAGAATATGCTGAATTTAGACTTCTATGTTCTGGGTATGTTTCATTCTAAATGAGTAATATTTGTATTCTTCCTAGTTCCACCATCTATTGTATATATGGACTACATTCTGGATCACACCTGGATTCTTCAATAAATTCTCTGTCATATTTAAAGGACCAGGATGGGGTCCAGGAAAACCAAGACTTGGATTGAGTGAGGAAATCCCAGAAGTAAGTAGCGTTCACAGGATGGGTCATGGTAGGAAGTTATCGTACATGGTCAGATCAAAGGCCAGCCAATATGTGTGCTGTCTTTATGCAGATTAAAATGAAAACACAAAATGATATTTTCTTACATGGCCATAATTCTGTGGTATATGCTTTTTTGAGTGTGCACAAAGTTGAGGTCCATAAGGCGGGTGTGTTCTTCCCGGCAGACACTGGCTGTTAACCAAGAGGACAGCGCAGTGAGCAGAGCAGGAGGGGCTGGTTCACAAACACCAGGGCATGCGCTCTGCAGACACCCAAGGCTCCGTCACAGAATTCTACAACATCAGAGATTCAGGGAGCTCTCAAGATGATTCCATCTAACCTTAATTTTGCTTATGAAAATCAGATGGTCTCAGAAAGGAAACTCTGGGATCACACACCAAGAGGCTTTAACTATATTAGATCGTAGCTATGTCCTTTCTATAGTACTAGCATTAAATGCAGTAGTCACATTATTACCTCCAAATAAGAAATTTAAGGACTTAATGTACTGGAAATAGCAAGAAAAAAAATCAGTTTTAATCTGAAATTCCTCCTTCAGGAATGAAAAAGGCCATTTGTTTTTCCAATCATTTAAACTATAAGTTATAATTCATTATCAAGCTAATAGTCTTTAGTAATGGTACAGAAACAATCCAGACAATCAACTCTACTCTACTGTAAAGAGAACTATGGGTATACAATTCTGTATTTTATTTACATAAAGTTATTTTTAAATTTTCTTACCTGAATAAGGCTGTTTTACCACCCAGTAACCAATGGCGTTGTAATACAATTTCCCAGACATTTTGGGTATAGTTACAATCAGTTATACAACCATCAGTAAAGTTGATTAGATGAAACTAATTTCCTTATTTCAGTTCCAAAAAAATCATTGTTTCTCCTTCATTTATATAGTTTTTGCTTTTTAAAAAAATAGATAGCTGATATACGATGATTATTTGTTAGGTCATATTGGAACCTAAATCTGGAAAATAAAAATAGCTTTTCTGGGAAACACAGGAATTTCAAATTAAATATTTCTCTGTGAGTTATGATTGCCTTCACTACACAAAATAGCCTTTATTTTTCTCTTTTGTTTTGCTTGCCTTGTGGTCATGGTTATAATTACTGTAGGAAGAGATGCAACCTATTCACTTTGTCCTTTTTTATCTTCAGTACGTATCATGAGTACATATTGCTAAATTAATTCTCAATTTGCTCTTTAAACCCAAAACAAGCCAGTTGCCATTGAGTCAACTCTGGCCCCTGGGGACCTCATTTGTGTGAGGTTGGTTCTGTGCTCTGTATCATGACTTGTCTCTGTAGCATATCCTATACATTGGCTAACTGTTCACAGGTCGATCACGAATCGCTCTTGCCTCTGGGGGCACTCACATCTTCAGCCTCATGTTTAGCATCGGAGGACCACTTGCATTAGCCGTGCGCTTCATATTGTCCTTTAAGGGAGACCAAATCAAAGCACCGTAAACCTTAAATGAGAAAGAAGATTCCTAGTTTTTAATACCATGCTAAGCCTGTTTTAATGACCTAAGGTTCATTTGGGGTGGGGGAGGGTAGCATATCAAGTTGTTTAATACATTTTTGCATATGTGTTCCTAAGTCTGAATTTCAATACAAATATGCTAAGGAACAATATTAAAAGGTTTTCCCTTGTCAACCTAGGTCACAGGGAAAGAAGTTGCCTTCTCATCTTCAGCATCTCCGCTGCTAAAGATCTATGCTGTTGTTCAATTTGCTTTGATGCTGGTATTCTATGAAGAGACCTTCTCAAATAAGGCTGTAAGTAATGTTCATTTCAAATGGCAATGTGCATAGAAGAGGAATTGTCTCTTATTTCAAATGAAATAAGCCCCAGTGACTGTGTTCTAATCTTGCTAATATCTAATCTGCCAATATCTCACATTTAAACAGGTGAATTAATTCACTCAGATTACTAAATATATGAATTATGTCTAAAGTACTTCTGTTATAATATTCATTATATTGTTTGGTATTTATATAAATATTCAAATTGGAAAATCTTCTCCACAGAAAAATTACACAATAATGGTAATAAAACACCTTGAAATGTGTTGGGGAAGTGCACCAGTGTCTATACACCTAACTCACTTAGAATTACCCTAATTGAATGGTTTAAGGAACTTCATGCAGTAAACTTCATTCTCCCTAAGGTATCTAAAATATTCAATTTATCTTATTCAAGATTAGGGTACAAGAATAGTTTTTAGAATCTGGATTGTAGTCCAGGCTATACCATGCGGTAGTCCCTTTCGACCACATAAGAATATTCACATGGCCTATATTTTGGAGTCAATAAAAATAACAAGGTTGGTGGTTCAAACCCACTTATGTTTCATAATCAACTCAATTGAAATAGATTAACTGGGATAATGCATTAGGATATAGAACTGGAACATTATTATTTTACATAGTGCTGAAAGATAATGAGTTGAAAGAAAATACGTAACAGAGAAGTTATCTCCAGACAAGAATACTTTGAATGTCAGACAAGAATACTTTTTTAAAAAAGATATAAGGGTTCAGGGAAAAAAATAAATGAGTAAAAATAGCATTAGGGGATAATGAATTCAAGCAAAATAAATTACTTTCTTCAAAGAGTAAGAGGAGGTGTGATGTGCATCAGTATACTCATAAAATCTGCATAAATAATATAATTAATCAAAGTGCATAATAAATGGATATGATACAGTATTATATTCCCAACATAGAAATCTTATGGGATTGTTTTAAATAATTAAATGCAGTTTGATCATGTTTTCATAGTAAACCA